CGTCCCAATGCGACTTCGCGCCGGAGTCGCTGAGAAAAGTTGAGCCAGGATGCATACATCACGACGGATAATTTTCGGAGACTTGGAAGTTTGATGGTGGATACGATGAACATGGGGCTGGGGCACTGCCAGTACCAGTTGGCATGCACTGCATTATTTACCCACCTGCGCTTGCAGCAGCTCCCAAGTCAGCACACTGTTTGTTGCACTGTTAATCCATCGTAAAACAGTCTTCGTTCTTACCTCAGCAGGGCCTTGTTTTTTTTTTTTTTTTTTTTTTTTTTTTTTTTTTTTTGTTTTGGTGCCATCGAGTCGGTTTTCAGACACCTCTGCTTCCCCAAGTCTCCTGCTCGAGCATCAATGAGTTGTGGCTTGTGGTAGCGTGAACCTGCTAGTGTGGCCCCAACCATGCCGACAATTTCTCAGCCATTCAATGTTGAGGATGCATTCATCAAGCTCAGTCGTGTGGTCAAAGCTGGGTTCATGAACTTGGAAAGAAGGATCGGTGAGATCGACGCAAGCGGTGTCAAAACAGCAGCCTGTAAAGGATAAAACCAACGGTAAGTTACATGGTACTTTGTCGCATACAAATTACTCTCTCGTGTCACCCTACAACAACGCTGAACTCCTCTTCTAGTTCCTGACGCTGGACGTGATGCTTCAGATGCTACCATTCAGTGGATGCATATGCCTGAGATGCCAATTTTTGCGACCGTACCCTGGTTCAATGAGACTGAGGCTTTCCGCTTTAACGAACTGCCGCTTGAATTGCGTATGGAGATCTGGAAGTTGGCCATGCCTTGTGGGCGCCTCTTTGAACCCAAAGTTGACATCCGACAACCACAGGCGCGACACCAGCACATCGCGTCAGATCCACTGCCTGTCACGTTAAGATGGAAACACGAGCCGCCCGCATTGCGAGCAGTATGTCGTGAGTCTCGGCAGGCCAGCGACATAATCGGTGGCTTCAAATTTGGGCGTATGGGCAATACACGTCGAGGATATTGGTTCAATTATGAAAGCGATATTGTCTATATCAACTCTGATATGATTGATCATGTGCGCCACTTGGATCTGAGGCGCGTGAGCAGTTTAGGTTTTCCCTACTTAGATTTCAAAACGGAGCAGGGTTGCAGGGATATTCTTGAAATCGCTGTTGAGCACGCCCTTGATTGTCGGACGGTGGTGTTCTATTTCCAGGAGAATTATGTGTTTTTAGGTACGGCAAAGTTCGACCGACTAGCAGATAGTGACCTAGTTGGTAATTACGAATTTTCGGGGCGATTTGGCCTCCCAGCTGGGTTGGCTGAATGGGGGAATCTCCGTCAAGCTGTGTACAATATATGGGACGAGCATCTCACCCAGGTAGGGAGAGACAAGACTCTAAAGCCTTGTCTAGTTGGCATCGATGTGTTGAGTTTTTAATCAAACTTGAGAAGCACGGGTTAGGAATTAGCGGTATCTTTCAGGCTAACACATAATTGACTGGAGTACGACAGACCCGAGCGTCGCAGCTTGCTTCTGCTGTATCACTTAACGGCCGTCTCCAGGCGCAGAGAGATGGCTAGTCTGCTTCACCAAGTACTTTCTCCCGGGCCCAGCTACGCTAGCACAACGGGAAAATGGTCTTCACGAGGCGCCTTCGGCGAGGGGAATGAGACTACTACGGTATATTTCCTTGTTTTATTTCTTTTTTTCCTTGGGGGTGGGGGGTTTCATGTGGGGTTTCCATGTCCACGCACTTATTTACCCTCTTCAATTTCTTGAATCTATGGAACAGTTTCGGGGGATTTGATTCCAACTTGACCAGAACATCCCAAATCTCCAACTGCCAAGCCCTCCCGCATCATTTCTAATTCACCGCGCTCTTCCTGGTCAATGGCGGATACAGTTCTCCCTTTTGCACGGATGTGTATAGGGTACCGCTGGGCCAGATAAAAGTGCATGCCACTCACCAGGTTCGGGTATATACGGACTTCCAGTCGTAGTGTCTTTGTTTCCGCCGCACTCGCAGGTAGGTACATGTCCGCATAACGCCAGCAAAATCGTTGGCAGTGACTTGCCAACATGGACGAAATGAAGCAAGCTATGGGGCAACGCGGACCATCATTTGTGGGCACAGGTGGGTGGGTCTTGGGTTCTCTCAAATCCCCTATTATGTGGACCTGTCAGATGCATTTGCTTAGTTATTCATGGATTGTATCTGAGAGGACCACGCCCGACATTTTTCAAGTATGCCGGATTACTGCGATGGAGAAGCTCCTAAATCGGCAGCCCGCTTCCTGGGTCGGAAGGCCACCGAGTAGCAAGCCGCTCGCTTCGTCTGGGGTTTATGGGACTGGAGTTTACCGGACAGATCAAGCATGTAAGGCTTGTTGAGTGAAAATGCCTAGACAAGTTCTCCCAATATTTGGTTGGCGTCAAGGTCGAATGGTCACCCAGACGCTGGCAGTGCATCTGAGCACGAGGGATGTCGATGCTTACGTGAGCCACATTCAAAATATTGGCGGTATGGCGTGCATTGCAGCATGAGCATCCTTGAGTGGTTGACATTAGTAGTGACGGCAAAAGAACAGGAGGCAAGGACTTCCGTGAGGATTGGGGATTTTTCGATATTCATAACGAGAATTTGGGGCCTTTGCGATAGGATAGGGTACTACAATACATATGACAAATGCTGGCTGAGAAGCAGCACTCATGTTGTTTGTGGGATCGCGTGTCTCGCGTCATGGTCGCGTGTGTCGGAAATTAAATCGGGCCGGGGGACACAACGTCGTAGAGGGTGGAGCCTCCATTGACTGCACGTGGGCAAAATATGCACATTGTTTTTTCGTTCGTATTTAAATTCGAAAGACAAAAAAACACTGCAATACTGGATGCGAGGACTCGCTTTCTGGCCCCGGATTGTAGGTGAAGAGTGCGAAGTGTTGCATCTGGCCCCAATGAGAGAACTTCAACAGCTTCATTAATGAGGCGGCAGGGAAAAAGCCGAGACGTGATCTTTATGACCTCGGTATGGCCGTCACATTTGACAGAAAGACACTTGTCTGTGACAGCAGGAGCCACTTGATCCACAAGCAGGGGGACTGGTCGACGGCCTCGCCCAGGAAACCAATCTGCCATCAAAAATCACGCGGGCAGCCGCCGCACCACGACTTGGGCGTCGTTCTGCCACACTTTGTGGCTTATGTGGCGGCATTAGCCACATGGACAAATCGCCAACACAACCATCTCCAAAAATAGACGCCAGAAGAATAAACATCCAGAGAATCCAATGAGTAATAACAAACATCGTGGGGGTTACCAGCAGCAGAGCGAGCTAGTCCCCCCCCTTCTCAAAAAAAAAAAAAAAAAAACAAAAACTTTGCTAGCCCCCCCCCTTTCAAAAAAAAAAAAAAAAAAAACCAAGACTTTGCATATGCCATCTTTGTTGGCTTTCACCGGGCCCGAAAAGCGGCCGACGGACTGCAGCCAGCACCACACCCAGACCATGCCACCAACAGACACGGCAAAGAGATCCACAATACCGCAAGCTCCGCTTTTGGACTGTTGCTAGAAGCGGAGACCAATTTTAGCTCTGCTCTGCGTCAGAACACGACTCTTCCATCTGGTTGTCTCACAAGCGTCTTCTGTCCACCATGGTGTAGACAACACTGTATCTCCGCCAGTGCAACAAAGAAAGATGTATAAGGTCGAGCGAACTTGATGACGGTGTGGTTTGCTGCCACGGTTGGGGGAACGACCGAAAGCTTAGGACGGCGGTCGCCCATATTTCCGGCCTGCGGCCCCCTCATTCGTTATGTCGCAATACATGGGTTAATTGGTTATCTGTCAGAAGTGCCAGCTCAGACTAGTCAAGGCGCCTTGGTCAGATACTCTCTTAACAAACAAATATAACTGTGCTCCTTAAGTCTTGCGCGATGTCAGATATATTGTTACTGTGTTATATCCAAACCCCAAGTAACTTGTTCAATTAAGTACCTGCGGATGTGAAGTTTAGTGGAGCTGAGCAGTGAAGAGTACCTGCGGACGTGAAGTTTTAGTGGAGCTGGGCAGTGACTATAGTGGATCTGACTACTGATTCCCCACGCCTATTGGATGGTTGTGTTTTCGCGATGTTATGTTCTGTTTATTGTAACACGTCGGGGAGAAAGAAGATTATCACGCTGAAAAGCTCCTTCTCTGTGATTACAATTCGCAACGGCCTCAAGAAAATTATAAATATAGACTTGAGTCCGTTTACTTGGAGGACCATGCAAACTCTCTACTTTTCCAGACAGTAAAACTTCTTAACATACGAAGTGGCCCATCGTCACCCCGAAACATCGTCTTTTCCAAGATGTCAGTCCAGGGTGCTGGTCAGTTCGGCCGTAAACGTCCGTACAGCGTTCCCTCTCCCCAACAAATCCCTAATACATACGGGCCGGCCAACTTTACCCCTGCTGGCTCTGGAGTCTCCGTCACCCGGATTCCATCGAACTGTCAGCAGCCGCAACTGTCACGTTATGAGACTCATTGTTAACTAAGATTCTCCATAAAATCATTATTCTTGTTCTTGTCCTCCCCCCTACAGCCTAGAAACTCAACATATTTAAATACTTTCGGAATACTGCTGCCTTCAGGCAGCAGTATGACGACTACTGTTGCCACTTGCCACTCTGGTGGCAAAAAGCGCTTGCGTGTTTCAATCAACAGAGGCAGTTTTATCCGACAACAGTAGTCGTCATACTGCTGCCTGAAGGCAGCAGTATTCCGAAAGTATTTAAATATGTTGAGTTTCTAGGCTGTAGGGGGGAGGACAAGAACAAGAATAATGATTTTATGGAGAATCTTAGTTAACAATGAGTCTCATAACGTGACAGTTATGAGCCCGGACCCGCGCACTAGGTTGTCAACAAGAACAGCCACGCTGTGAAAACTGCATAACAATAGAGCACAAAGACAGTGTTCGTGAGACAGTTAGCTAAGTGAAATTACCCCTGCTGAATAACTAAGTGAAAATGCCATCTTCCAAGACTGAAGTTATCCTCACGGGGATCGACAATTGGGACGACTGGCAGAAGTTTGTTGCAAGCTTAATTGATATAGACATCTGGGAAGCGATTAAGCCTGCAAACCGAACTCAAGTGCTTCTACGAAAGCCAAGAAGACCGCAGGTATCTGATTTTAACGCAAACGCTCAGACTGAAGTCAATCTTTCGGCATCTCAAGTCAATGCTTTCAGACTAGCCCGTGACAATTGGAAAGACAGCTCTAAGGAGTATGAGCAGCAGAAAACCAATCTCATCAAGGCTAAAAGTGTTATCATCAGCTATGTGGATGAGAGGCTAGGTCGTTATCTCGACCAAGACCATGATCTCCCCCGCTGGATTGAGAGTCTATCTGTAGCCGTCAACGCCGAACAGACTAAGGCAACAGACGAACTTGTGATAGAATATCAGCGGATCATCAAGTCATTTAGGTGCACCGACTCAGCAACCTTCGCAGACTGGATCTGGAAGTGGGAGAATTTCCTCCTGAAAGCTGCACGACATCGAATGCTTGAAGTAGCAGGTGGTCGTTGGCTATTCGACATCGCCCGCCTTATGGCCAAACATAACGGCAACTTCACTGATAACTGCAGACAAGCTGCAGAATCACTTGTTTTGAAGACAAAAGACTACAATCAAGCTGTTGAACAAGGAGTACAGCAGTTATTGCAGCTCAACGATTTTAGTGATCATGCCAGGCTGCGAGAGGCGGCAATAGCAATTCAAGGGGCTCTGATCCACACCCCTCCCAACGCTACGGATGCGAGCAAGGAATGGTCAATTGGAAGTGTAGCTGTCAAGTTACGGACCTGGGCCAGCTCAGCACTTCCAGCCCAACCAGAAAGATCCTCCGCCAAAAGGGGAACAGCGTTCCAAGCTGATACCAAGAAGGGTAATCGGGATGGAAGGGCAAGCCAATCCCGATCAGATCGTAAAAGAGGGCGATCAGACAACCAGCAGGATAGCAACAAGAGACAAGAGTTGAGCTGTGAAGCTTGTGGCCAGCCGCGACATGATCTTAGTTCCTGTTGGTCAGCTATTCCAGAACTTCGGCCAGGAGGAGTACCTGCGAATCACCGCCTAGAAGGCCTGGTGAGGAAAGTCCTGGCAGCCGATCCGGAACTAAAGCCTAAAGTAGCTGAACTTCGAAAAGCAGCTCAGAAAGACCAGGAACAGGAAAAGAAAGAAGTTTCATTTCAGTGACAACCAGCCGAGTCAAGCTTGGAGCGACGAATCGTTGGTCAAGCATTGTCACCAGGGGCTGCGTTCCCGATATGTCTAGGGACCTGTCTGCAAGCTGACCAGTATCCCTTGCGATCGTCAACCATTCTTGATTCCGGAGCTTCGTTGGATATATTCAACGAGCTTGCTAGGTTTAAGTCAATAAGGAAACCAAAGGCAGGAGAAGAACACTACCTCATTGCCGGAGACTCAGAGGTCAAAATCGAAGGCTACGGCCGGGTTGACGTCCCAGTCACAAAACCCAATGGATCGATTGGGATCTTGCGAATCAAGGATGCAGCATACTGCCCTACATTTGCTGTCAATGTTGTGTCATTCCAGTGTCTTTATGATCGAGGCATCCGTTGGGATACAATATCGACTCCAACACGGCTAATCCATGCGTCTGGAACATTAATCTGTGTAGTTCAAAGATACTACAGACAATGGGTTCTCGAGTATCGGGAGTCAACCGACGCCAGCTTAAAGGCAGCGGCCGCCTACATGGCCAGAAGAAGAAGACGGACCAGTCGAGACCCAAGAGCAGAATCTGCTGCAAATGGAACGTTGTGGCACAACCGACTGGGTCACCCTAGCCCAAAGACCATTGAGCAATTAGGAAAGAAATGCCTCGGAGTAAGGCTGAAGGGACCAAAAACAGCGGAATGTGACCACTGCGGCCGGGGCAAGATGCACCGGCAGATATCCCGGAGGCAGCCGATAAGACCGATCGAACCATTTGAAGAAATCTGGGTTGACTGGACCGATCTTACGGAAGATTACCAAGGCTACGTCCGAGTTATGTTTATCACGGATGCATATTCGGGTCTTGTTTTTCCTTATTTTCTGAAGAGCCACGGTTTAGGCAAAGAAAATCGAAGAATCCTGAGAGACTTCTTCAACTGGATAGGGGCTCAATACAGTTTCAAGCCAAAAGCTATACGATCAGACAGTGATGTAAATAGTGCAAAATACCGTATACGATATTTTTTCAACCCCACACTGCACTGGATTGTTTCGGAATTTGCTGCACTGCACGGTATACGGTATTGCACTGTATTTGGGCAATATCGTATTGCAATATCATATCGCACGGCGTGCAAAGAGCCGCATGGAGTAAGCATTAAGCTAACCCAATTGAGCAAGGTTGAAGATCAAGATTGTTTCTCCGACTGCAAAAGCTATTCATAGCCGACATATAATAGGTATGCTATTGCCACTAATGATGACGGTTGAAGAAAAGTTCTTCCGGAACTCACTTTCCTTAGGCTTAGGGCTTCGATGGGCGACATAACTGACTTAACCAACACCGCCACTGTTTACTTGACGTGAGAGTGAGTTAAAAGTAGTGGTCAAAAGAAAACGCCACTGAAATTGCTTGCATCCTATGTATTGCTAATAATATCAGGTATTGGTGTTCGAAGACGCCTGTTGTCATCGCCTTTATGGCTGCTGTGTTCAGGGTAAACCCGACGTCGGCCACCCAAGTCTCTTGTGAGAATTCCCGTAAAACGCTCAACCCAAGTTTATTAAAAAAGAAAATAAAAAGAACATACAAAAGAGGCCATCACCTTGTCCATCTAAAAATCAAAGAGACAGGAGAGTTAGATTGCAGAAATATCGCCTAGAGCTCGAGTTCAGACAGGCATCAATTGAGATGAAGTTTGTGGGTTTCAAGTGCCAGCCTAGGTGGCAATTCGACCAAAAATAAGCCCCGTATTACTCGTGTTGCACTGTATTTGCACTGCATAAATATCATATTATACGATATTTAAATGACCTTGCACTGCACGGCACGGTTTGTTGTTTTTCTTGCACTGCACTGTATAAAAATACAGTGCAGGCAATATGATATTGAATATGATATCGTCTTATATACGGCCACACTATTTACAACACTGCGATCAGATGGCGAACTATTCAGCAAGGATGTCCGGAAGGAATTGAAGCTTCGATCCATTGAAGCAAAGAAGTCAGCCCCGAACACTCAGGCCCAGAATGGAGGCACCGAGAGATCAGGGGGTGCAATTATGGAAAAAGCCCGAACAATGCGTATAGCTGCAAATCTGCCACACAACTTGTGGAACGACATTGTGGAGGCTGCTTGTTATCTACGCAATCGCACACCTCTTGAACGAGATAAATGGCATAGCCCATTCGAGAGAGTCTTTAAGAAGCAACCGTTAATTAGTCATTTAAAGGCTTATGGTTGTAAGGCTTTTGCGATGACAGCAGACGCCCAACTCAAGCTTCAGAGAAAACAAAAGCTTGAACCGAGAGCACACATAGGGTACCTCGTGGGCTACCAATCCTCGAACATCTACAAGATATGGGTTCCACACAGGAATAAGGTTATCTTAACTCGAGACGTTATCTTCAATGAGTCTAGCTTCTTTGAGAACAAGATAGCTCAGCCCGAATTACGACAAACCATAAGTCAGCTGCTGGAAGAAATTGAAATCCCAGAAGAACAGCAAGCTATGGAGTCTATGCTCGAAGAAGAAACATTCAATAATTCTGATGAATCAGATGAAGAGATCCTGGATGAGATCGTTGTGAACACAAGCATGCAGGGTGAACAGGACGGTGAGGACGATGAAGATGCATGTGAGGGGTCAGAAGAGCTAGGGTATCTTACGCCGCCACTGACCGACCCGGAGCTTGAAGAAAGCCCGGAGGCTATATTCACAGCCAGCCTTCCAATTCGTCACCGACCCGATCATCCTGAGGGGGCGGATAATAAAGGCCACAACTCAAACTGCTGCGACTCCAAGGTAGAGCAGATCAGTGCCAACTATCGATTCCACGAATTCCATCCAATTCGAATTGAGACAGCAGTCCATGGTGCATTTAATGCTGGGATTAAGTTTCGACCGCACAAGAGAGATCTACCAGAAGCTCCAAAGACCATGAAGGACCTTGAAGGACACCCATTCAAGGATGAATTTATCAAGGCGCAGCAAGAGCACCTTGCGTCACATGGCCATATGAATTCCTTTGTTGAGGTGCCTTGGTCAAGAGCTAGAGGTCAAAGAGTCCTTAGCTGCATGTGGGTATTTACCTACAAGACAAGACAGCACGGCCATCTCCAGAAATGCAAGGCGCGGCTTGTTGTGTGCGGGAATCAGCAAGAAAAGAATGCTCTCCCGACTCGTGCAACAACGCTGGCCAGCATGTCATTCCGAGCGCTAATGGCGATAGCCGCTGAACACGACCTTGAACTGGAACAGATGGATGCTGTCAATGCATTTGTAAATTGCGAATTAGACGAAGTTGTCTATATGCGTATGCCGCCAGGTTATGAAAAGTATGGCAGAGTGCTGCGATTGAAGAAAGCCCTCTATGGTCTGCGACGGTCACCCCTGCTGTGGCAGAAGGAGTTGACGAAGAGCCTCCAAGAGCTAGGTTTTCAACCAGTTCCGCAGGAGCCATGCATTATGACGAAAGGCTCTGTCATCGTATTCTTCTTTGTTGATGACATTATCTGGGCGTACAGAAAAGCTGATAAAGAAATCGCCAAGGAAGCCATAGAAGGCTTGAAAAGTCGTTACAAGATGACACAGCTAGGCGAGCCAAAGTGGTTCCTCGGTATTCACATCTTGAGAGATAGGCGAAACAGGACAATTTGGTTGACTCAAGACGCGTATATTGACAAAATAGCGCACAAGTTCTCCATTCAGCTAGAAGGCAAGGTGCCGGCAACACCTATGGGCCTAGAAGAGCTATTGAAATCAGAGACGCAAGCGACAAAGAAGTCAATCGAAGCCTACCAACAAAAGGTTGGGTCCATTTTGTTCGCAGCCATATCAACAAGACCAGATATCGCATTCGCAGTCAGCCGATTAGCACGGCATAACCTGAATCCAAGCGATGCTCACCACAGAGCAGCGGATAGAGTGATTCAGTATCTCTATTCCACTAGATCATTTGCTCTGCGACTTGGAAACAATGATCAAGAAAACACAGAACCAATTGAGACTTTCATCGGCTCGAGTGATGCATCATTCGCCGATAACACAGAAGACCGAAAAAGCTCACAAGGCTACGTATTAAGACTGTATGGTGGACCGATTGCATGGAAGGCATCGAAGCAAACCACCGTAACAACCTCAAGTACAGAAGCCGAGCTACTAGCAGCTTCAGAAGCAGCCAAAGAAATGATAGCTGCAGGAAGACTATTGCAATCTTTGGAAGTTAAATTCAACGAGCCTTTGCAATTGGAAATCGACAATAGACAGACGATTAGTTGAAGAGTCAGCGAAGTTGACCACTCAGCTTCGCCATGTTGATATTTACCAGCACTGGCTACGTCAAGAAGTTCAGAATAACCGAATTGAAGTGTGTTGGGTGGAATCAAAAGACATGATCGCAGATGGGATGACGAAGTCGTTACCCAAAATCCGACACATTGAATTCCTACGGCAATTACGAATAGAAGATATTCGAAGCCGAATTGGCATTGAAGCCAAGTTGGAAGAAGCTCGAAGCAAGGTGCGAGAGAGACTTCAAAGCCCTGACAACGAAATAGGCCTCGAGTTGAAGCTAGGTGCGAAGGGGGGCAAAAGAGTGCCAACCCCGGGGGGCCCAGCCATGAATTGTGCTGACACTAAAGCTTATCAGAGGCACTAAAGTTGTAGATGAGTACTTAGGAAGGAGCTCATCTAAGGGGGTGTGTCGGATAAAACTGCCTCTGTTGATTGAAACACGCAAGCGCTTTTTGCCACCAGAGTGGCAAGTGGCAACAGTAGTCGTCATACTGCTGCCTGAAGGCAGCAGTATTCCGAAAGTATTTAAATATGTTGAGTTTCTAGGCTGTAGGGGGGAGGACAAGAACAAGAATAATGATTTTATGGAGAATCTTAGTTAACAATGAGTCTCATAACGTGACAACTGTTGCCACTTGCCACTCTGGTGGCAAAAAGCGCTTGCGTGTTTCAATCAACAGAGGCAGTTTTATCCGACAGCAACAGCAGATGTTCCCC